TCTTTCAAAAGGGCACTTTTTTGGACTGAGGGCAAAAGGGCAAGTGCTTCAGCACCACCTCGTCTCTATCTGTGCACGCCAGTGCCCACCAGGCAATTATGGAAAACTTAAAATTATACAGAGAAAATAGCTGAATGTAAACTTTCACTGTTAAATTGGCTTGTTGGACACAGTCATTGGCTCCAAAATTCATTACATGAGTCATGCTTTGGTGGATCTGAATACAAGCTTAGCTACGGTCATGTGGGCGCTGGGTCCCGACCCAAGAGAGGAGGGGATGAAGCATTCAGGATGAGGGTTAAGGTCATTTCATGGGTTTATTAGCTAGGAAACAAAAACAAAAAAAAACAAGTAGAAGGGACTTACAGACTCAAGGAGCACTGAACTGTAGTTTGAGCTGAAGAGCTCAAGACTCAGAAACTGGGAAATGGAGACATGGGACTTAAATAAGCCACCCCCCAGCTGGGGATAATCGTGGCTTAATTTACTGATGACATCACTACTGTTATTCTGCAGTGGAAGGTCAGCACTGCTCTGATACATACAGTGCCAGTCCAAATTCAGGACACACATACTGAAAATCATGTTTTTCAGCAGTTTAATGACCCTGAGCAGACTTCGATGTTATGTGGTATTTTGTGAATAAGGAAAGAGATGGAGTGCTGTGACAGATGACCTGGTTCCCATAATCCCGCCACCTAAACCCTATAGAGTTGGTTTTGGAGCGAAGAGTAAGAGCAAGGTAGCTACCTTGGGCCCAGAACTTGTGGAAACACCTTCAGGACTGTTGGAGAAGCATTCCAGGTGGCTACATCTGGAAGCTGGTTGAAAGAACGCCAAGAGTCTACAATGCTGTCATCAAAGCAAAAGTGGGCTGTTTTGAGCAGTCAAACTTTGAAAAATTTTAAGATGTTGAACAGTTCTCTTGGTTGTTGCAATAATTGATATGTATTACTTCATTACCTCGAGGCCTTTATCTATAAGGTGAATAACACAGCAAAATAGAGAGAAATTAAAAATAGGCGTGTCCAGACTTTTGATTGTGACTGTATGAAAAGGGAAAATTTGTGTGTATACGTTTCATTAGTGTTGGGAGGTATACCGGTTCATACCGAAAACCGTTTTGTATTATTGTTATGATATGAATTTTTCTTATACCGCAATACCAGTTTAAATAGCCAACACAACATTCGGAAATTGGCGCAGCTGGAAACTGTTTAAATACCGCAATGATGAAAGGTATTAACTGGCATAAGACAAAACATGCTGTTTGTTGATCCTACTCCCTTCTGCTATAAAAGAGTCCTGTATGCTATAAGACTCTGTGATGGCTGTTTCTTACAGGAACGGGTACTGAAAAAAATAAACTGCTTTTACAGAGAACAAATGAATCTGAACATCAGTGCATGGAAATATTTTGACCTTTAAGCAAGATTTTTGCTCAACTGTGGATTGTTGCGTAGCAACAGCATATGACAACGCGAACAAGGATTACGTAGACAATGTAATCTGTTATACAATCTTGTAATAAAAAAGGAAATAGCTGGATCTGAACCGGGGCGACTGCATCAGTCCCAAGGCCCTCATATTTTCTGTTTCTAGTGTTTTGCTGAAAGCAGTAACATTGCTGTAGATAGCAGCGTTAAAAATTGTGCTTCATCAGAGCTGATGGCCGAGGCGCTGCTGCAATGTGTATTTTGCACACGATTGGCCCCGGGAGACCCCACAGTAACCACCAGCTGCCATCGCAGTGTGTATCTGCACTCTGCTGGAACCAACTGCATCCCATACAAGTGAAAGTGCTGCACAAAGTTAAAGTAGACCTATACTGGCGGTCTGAATGGCGCCCTCTGTAGGATAGCACCGTATTTGTGTCTTCCTGTTAATATATAAACAGCATATAGGCCTATTGAACAATTCAGCATAATAAAATTGCGCTGCTTGAGTAGTTTTTGCTCATATAAATTATTCATTGTGAATTATTCAACTATATCAGTAGACACCACTTGTTACTTCATTTATTAGTATTTACAACAAATATACTATTGCTGCTCGAGTAATGCGTAAGTAAGTCTTCTTACACAAACCGCTTATTTGTTACGGCGCTATGTATTGCTGCATATATCTGCAACCTACAATATAGCGCTAAACCCTATGAAATTACAAACTGTCCTGTACTTACAACCTATGTGACTTATGATGACTCGCACATACGACCAAAATTTTTAATAATAAATGAATAATTTCTGGCAGTCGTACACCTGGCTACAGTACTCTGCCTAGAGCCTGCTGTGCTCCGTGCGATAGCTGCCGCGGGACAGTCCTGCACCGTACGGCATCGCCGGCCGCCTTCCCAGCCTCACACACATCTGCAGGCTCATTCTCACACCTAAAATGCAATTATCCTATTCTGACTTCCGTCCATTTCAACTTACGACCCCTCTGCCGGGACGGAACCCAATCGTAAGTCGGGGACAGTCTGTGCTGGTTCATATCACTGCTCTTAAACTATGACAAATACTTTGCACATTGTACGCAGTTCATTTCTTGCAGTTTAGCTGGTTTTCGAGATTAATTATTCCACTGATATCAGATTTTAGGTATGTCACTGCTGTATGTACTGGATTCGATAAAGTTCATCTTATGCTTTCCTGCCAATCGTCACACATAAGGTGTGGTTTGTATCAACACTGAAACCATTTGACACTGAACTCTGTCTGCAGTTAATATCCCATAAACACACAGGCTTATTTATATAAGCATCCAATCATTAGCCTAGGTGACTAATGAAAACATCATTTGCGTCTCATAGCAACTTCAAAAATAACGATATACGGCAAAGAGTATCACACCCGTAAGAATGTGAGGACATTCCTCTGTAATAAAGACAATTCCCATGTAATTTGCACGCTGTTCAGAGCCACGTAACTACTGAGGAAGCGGTGTCGGTGAAGGACTGCGTACTCCAGCCTTTACCCACAGTACATCTCTCTCCTCCAAGCAACTCAGTCATCATTCATTGATAAAATGGGAAAGAGCAGTGAAAACATTCCGGAATGTCTGGCAGGGAAAGGAAGCTGGTATGTCTGACCATGTGAGAGAAAAGTAGATATGAATGTATCACTTATTTGAAAGAGAAATGCAAGCATGGTACATGTCACATAACATCCACCCATCTATCTTCTAACTGCTTATTCTGGTCTGGGGGCCTGGAGCACATCCCACGTAAGAACATAAGAAATTACAAATGAGAGGAGGCTAATCGGCCCATCAAGCTCGTTTGGGGAGAACTTAACTAATAGCTCAGAGTTGTTAAAATCTTATCTAGCTCTGATTTAAAGGAACCCAGGGTTTTAGCTTGTGCTACACTAGCAGGAAGAGTATTCCATACTCTAACTACACGCTGTGTAAAGAGGTGCTTTCTCAAATGCAGTTTAAAATGTTCTCCCGCTAATTTCCACTTATGGCCACGAGTTCAAGCATTTAAACTAACATTGAAATAGCCATTTGGCAGAACAGCATCCAGACCTGTTAGAATCTTATAGACCTGGATCATGTCCCCCCTTAGTCTCCTTTGCTCGAGGCTAAACAGATTCAGATCAGCTAACTTCTCCTCATAAGACATTCTTCTAAGACCAGGAATCATTCTTGTAGCCCTACGCTGCACCTTTTCTACATATCACAGAGCACAAGGCTGGGCTGCACACTGGATGGTACAACAGTTCAGCAGAGGCTGCATGCACACCATCATATATTATCTGAATGCAGGAGGAAAGCTGCATGAGATGGGAAGACCTGCAAGCTCTATAACCAAACAGAATGGAGCTGGGATTCAAACGCACAACTAGCTCATGCAGCTCTACAAGTAGATTGCTGTGTGACAATTCAAAGCTTGGGGGTTCAAATCCTAGGGAATACACACAAAATTATAACCGTTCTCTCTGCTGCAAATTACTTTGCATCAGTGTTTGTATATTTTGTTAGTGAACTAGATTGTCTAGGTGTCTTTCAGTTTTACAAATCTGATTTTTATGAGAAGCTTGGTGCGGTTTGCTGACCCCACTGCTGCGACACTGCATCATACAAAACAAGTCGTGTTGAACTTCTTATCGGACCTGCCGAGCTATGGCGACGGGTTCTGCGGAGCGCCGTACCGGATGAGGTCCAGCAGCGCATCCGCGGAGCTCATGATGGGCTTGCCGCTGTCCTCCGAGTCTTCCTTCTGCGCCGCGCCGCCCGGGTGGATGACGGACACCATGACGATGCCCACCACCACCGCCACGAAGGTGGTCCACAGGTAGTAGGAAATGGTGATTAGGCCCAGGCGACTGGAGCACTTGGCGTCCAGGGCTGCCAGGCCTGACATCAAGCTGGGGAGATAAAAACACCGTCAGTCAGTAAAACATCTCCTCCCAGCAAAACCCAGGCTTGAGGAAATTAAAGACCAGGTTCCCATCTCCCCCTTTGTCCCTGACAAGAATGAATGACTGGGAGATTACAAGATGCACCATTACGGCACAGCACCTCAATGGTGGGGCTTCTTTAATTAACATTAAAATTTTGTTATGGACGGTAGGAACGTGTCCCTACCAATATTGTGGGAGTACAGTGCGTGTTTAAGGGACAGAGGGTTCAGGACTGATTTGGTGGATGCGCATCTCCATCTCTGAGGTCATGTGATACACATCTCGATGCTTTGCCAACAATCCCAAACATTAAAGATTCATATAAAAGAATTACTATTGCGATAAAATACGATTCACTCCTATAGCGTTGCAGCACAATTCGAAAGGACTCGGGCAAGACTAGGCCTAAATATTTTTAAAAAATACGTTTTTAAAGAAAAAAAAAGCAAAGCATAAAACAAACAGACAAACGTTCGACTGTAGTAAAGACTTCTCCACTTTCCCATAAACATAAGAACGATTCTTCGCCCTTTACAGACACAAAAGACAGCTTGTTCTTGTGTGCAAGTTCACGATAGCCACAAACTTTTTGTCAAAATAATTGTCAAAAAATTTTCTGTGCTGGCTCCATAAAATATGGACAAATAAAACCAAATATAACAAGTAATTTTAAACCAGTTACTTAGTTATACTTATTTGCGCTCGCTGCTAATTGATTTAACCATAACGGGCACTTGAGAAATGTGCATAATTTTGAAAACCACTAAACATATTACATTTAATCAAAATCTTTTAAATGAACCAAATTAACTTCCTCCTGGCTCATTACCAAATACGGTTCAGGAAATGAGCATAGAGATGATTATTATCCGTAAAAGTCGGATAAGCTATATTACAGCTTCCCAAACAAAGACACAAACCTTTATTTTGCATGTGACAACTTACAAACAGAGGCAAGTATGTGATAAATGACAAAACCCTCCTCAGATAACACACATATGTTGAAACTGATTCCATATCAGACAAAAAGATTGAAACAACGTTGATCTTCAATCTCTCATTTTATATCAACATTGAATCAAGGTTTTGCCACCATCGGTTTTTCGATATTGAAAATCTGACCAAAAATCGATTCAGTTTCAACGTTGATAATTTATCACTGACCATAATTCAACGTATTTAACTATAATTCAACGTTGAAACAATAACATGATACTATCTGGGTCCTGTGGTCTGGAAGCATAATGAACCCTGAAAACATTAATAACACCAGCTGTGAGATAAATAAATAATATGAAATTAATAAAATAAATGACTCTTCTGCATGAATAAATTGAATTTAACTGATGCAAAGGTTTTAGAAACAATGTATTTATCCCAAATTGCATTCAGTGCACCCTTTTATGCCAGGGCACCGATGCCAATCGGCAAATCTTACAATCCCTAGTCCGTACCAATGAAATTGAAACCAAACCTATGCCCTTGCATTATCAATATAACATTTACCTTCAGTAACCATGCTCATCTTACAAAATAATACAACATAGCTGCTACACAGTCTGATGCAACGAGAGAGCTCTCTCTACCTCACGCTGAGCCTGCTATAATTACTAATAAGCTGGGAATGGAAGTAATACAGACTAATGTATGTTATCCGGATGTCAGAAACACTTCTCACTTTCTCAGGGACAATTTATAGACTATATTTCAATCTCAGTCATTAAATATTCAACTTACTGAGATTCTGACTGTGTTAACTCTAAAGCAACAAATTAGAATGAAAAAAAAAAAAACTCAGAAGACAATGCCCACTACATGTACTATGTGCCCAGCAAATTACTTAATGGGACCCACACTTAAAAAGTAGCTTTAGGTAACTGTCCTGGACCAGTATAATGAGGCATTAATCAGTCCAATGCTTAAGAAGTCAAAAACGTAGATAACGTGTCAGACAAGGACTCTCAGTAAATACATTTATTATATTTGACAATCAGAGTCCAAGCCAGACCAGAGCAGCCCAAACTGGATCATCCATCCGCAGCATTGGGTTTTCTGTCCACTGGGCCCTGAGACCATGGGTGGCACGCTGCAGTAAGCATGTACTAAAGAGGACTGGGGCTGGCTGACTTGGTTGCGTGGCTTTCGGATGAGGTGCACAAAAAGCAGGAGCATGAAGGAGCAGCATGGAAACGGTGAGCAAGTCTAAAAACAAGGCGCATTCTGCTGGAAGCACTGGCTGTTCAAGTCCATGTCATCCAGACCCGGGAGATGCTGCCGGCTAACCAGGACCAGAAACTCCAGACAGGGCGCTGATCACCCAGAACCATGGACCCGGAACCAAGACACTGACACCCAGGGGCATGCCTGGAAATTCCGGGCCCCCTGATAAAATGTCACCTTGCCCCCCCTTCCCACCTCTGCCAAATTTGACATATAATTTAATGTATTCAAGGACTCTTGCCAAGTGCTGGTTCCCCTGAATCTGTCAGAGTATCCACACCCCTCCAAGACCCCTGCTGGCACCCAAAGCTGGTTATGATGTCATTAAAACCCTGACCCTAACCTAGCAGCAAATCACAAACAAACTAAACCCAGTCCCACAAAGTAAACTCTAAACAAACAATGCTGCAAACCCACCCTTAAAGGGAAATGATGATGACTATGTACTGAACAAGAGTCATTGCTCTCTGTAAATAACATTCACAGTCAACCATAATAGTGACTAAAAGCATCACACAGACCAGTGCCTGTGCCAGTCTTTTGATTACCAATGCAGGGCCGGCTGTGCTGCTTAAAAAAGTGACAAATGACCCTGCACTTCAGGCAAACTTATCTTTTGAATTATAAAATGAAAAAAATGAGTTTGGTGGTATTTTGCTGGTGTCACAGTGACTAGAAGTTCCCAAGAATTTTTAAAAAATGACTCAAGCATGAGATAAAATATAAAATAGACTTCAGACCTTTGATTACAATCCTGCATGACCTGGGTACTTTAATCTTAAACTGTCTGTACCTCACAGCAGCAGCAGGAATTGAAACTTGATTGGGTAAATACGACCCCCCAGCACCTCTTTTAATGTCTCTGCAATGGCTTCAGGTTAAACACCGACGCTTCAAGCCCCTGCTTATTTGAATACAGACCTTAGGATAATTCCTCACATAAACAGAAAACCACAGTGTGTACAACGGCCTGTCAGCATATGTGAGGGATAACCCTCAGGCCTCAGGATTTTAAGCTATTTTAAATGTTTTATCATCCTCATGAATATGACATTTCAAATCCCATGCGGCAAATGCTCAGTAATTTTATGACTTCTGGCAAGGGAGGGCAATAGCAGGGCACACCTGTAAACCAGGGTATCAAAGGACAATGAAGAGTAACATCCTACAAAATCACAATATGGGACACAGTCCAGCTGTCCGTGCTGCTAGTTATCAGAATATCTAAGAAAGTTTCTGTTAGCTTGTGCAGATACTTCACAGTACTTTATTTCTTTGCATTCAGGTTTGAAAATAATGAATCAAAAACCAAACCACCAAATAATAAAAAGATTACAAAGTATCAGCACCTTGGACTTGAAAGTATCACGTCCGAGTCAAAGAATCGGAATTGTCAGCTTCAGATACCGGATCCATAAGTTATACACTGACATAAAATTTCCATCTTGGTCATAGGGCAAGAATCAGTTATAAACATAATATAAATATGTAAATATAAATATGTCACTCAGCCCAGTTCCCAGATCAGCACCTCAGAGGCACCCAGATAATCCTGCTCACCATGATGCCAGAGCTCAGTTCGTCACATATGGCAGGATTCATTTAGAAATTGCCATACCCCAGCTTAATCTGGCTTTAACTCAATTGAAATGTTTCCAGGGCAACACCAAGGAAAGGACATCATGTGAACTCTGATTGGAGTCTACACGGAGTCATCGTGTCTCAGCCAATCACGACCCGTGCTTACGTAGGTATGTGAATGCCACGCCTCGCGCCTGGATTCTGCGGGCTGACCCTAAAAACTGTGTGGATGAGACTGTACATACTAGAAAAATAACCAAAGCATTTCAATAGACATCTTAAATATTTAATGCAAATTGATTTATGAGTATTAATTACCTGCAATGAAACTAAGTACCTCTGGTTAAAAACAAACCATTTAGCTTTTAAAGAATCAATGGCAGATTTAAACAAAATAGGAGGAAGTTCTTCAGTAAAACAGTTTAAGTAAGAATCCAGTTATATAACTGCATCATGTTGTTTATTTGATTAGGGATATGTGACAGATTAGAAAATGAATGTTAGGTGTCCTTTTTTGCAGAAATAAGCTCTTCCTGTCTTTGTTCTGCACAGCACAGCAAATTAAACTTTTATAAATGCAAATAGGTCCTCATCTTTATACTTGGCAATAGCTATACAGTACTGTGCGAAAGTCTTAGGCAGTCATAGAAAATGATGTTTCACTGAACTCCATGTTGCTGTAAAAGTATGATTTTATGCCTGTCAAAGTGTATCAGCTTAGCCATTTCAAAACCGCTCCTAAAGTCACTCTATTTGCAGCATCCGTACAACACACACATGGATCTTTTGACCCGACCACTATCTCACCTAATATAGCTGGTCAATATCTCATAGATTTTTTTAACTAATTAAGTTAATTCATTAAGTGAGCTGGTGGTGAAATGTAATAAATATATAGAATGGGAGAGGGGCTGCTGAGGAGAGGTTTGGGAACTGAAGCTGTGTTCATCCAGCCATCCAACAGGCTATCGGTGACTTTTGGGCGAACAGGAGAAATTTTATTAGTTTTTATTGTGTTACTTTTAATTTGCATATGCTCTAATGTTAAAAAGTGTTTTTGTTCTGAAGCAATATATACTTACAACCAAGATAAATAGCTTTAGACATTTCCTTTGACTGCCTAAGACTTTTGCACAGCATGGCAATAATCACGCCTGGGCACTGATAAAGACCCAGTGTCTGTACTGCACTCATGGTGTATTATTAACGAAGAAGAACGTAATGAGTGTATCCTTCATGACGCATTCAATAACAATGAAATACACATAACATGAAACTGAAAGACCCCAGAAAAAATCCACTGTTGGCTAAATGATCTATCCCACCGTTGGCTAATAGATCTCTCTGTTGGCTAATGGATCCCTCTGTTGGCTAATGGATCCCTCTGTTGGCTAATGGATCCCATTGTTGGCTAATAGATCCTTCTGTTGGCTAATAGATACCTCTGTTGGCTAATAGATCTCATTGTTGGCCAAGGGATCCCACTGTTGGCTTCCTTCCATGTCATGTTCTCTTTCTTGTTCACAAACATCCCTGAGGTTATGGTGAAAGGTCAGGCTATCAGTAGTGGACACAGCTGTGCTGTGCCTGATTGCCACTTAATTCTACTGATGCCATTACATAGATTAAACAAGGCCTGGGTATCCCAGGCAGTGCAGGGCCCAAGGCCCGGGTATCCCAGGCAGTGCAGGGCCTAAGGCCCGGGTATCCCAGGCTGTGCAGGGCCCAAGGCCCAGGTATCCTAGAGAGGGTGGACGACTAAATATTGTAGCTAAATTTCCTATATGGCTCTTGAGATTAGACTATGTTGACACACCACCACTTATTCAGGCAATACAGCTGTAAATCACGTACAATCAGTGCATAAAAACATATTAGTGATGACCTTTTAATATGTTTGTTTACATATGTTAATAAAATTCACGGCACTAATGGCTAACAATTCAGCATTGTGAAGCAGGCTCAGATTCCAGGCTGACTTGTCTTGCACTGGATTCCTCTACTTCCTGTCAAGCTTCCTGTCCTGAAGTTGCAGGATCTGGGTCAGATGCTTGGCGGCTGGCCCATGGTTTGGCTTAAAGGCCTCTGCAGTGGGTCGTAGGTCCATATGCAGCTCTTTAAGCAACAGCTGCTGTTCCTCTGCAGTTCTGACTGCTGTGGCCTAACTATCGCAGTGAACCCACCATCAGGACATCAGGCTGACCCTACAATGCAGTCTAACTTTTGTCACTAGTTTCTATTGTGACTTTTGTCACTAGATTACAGGCGGGTTGAAATATTACGCCTTTTCTTGCATTTCAGTTCTACATACAGTTGTCCTAAGTAAATAGGAGTTATTTTGTATTGATTCTTTTGAAGAAAAATAAAAATATTAGCCCTACAAACCTATCACAAAAACAAAAGTAGTAAAACTGTAAAAAAATCTTTGGTAAAAGACTGATTCCTGGTCCCCAAAGCTTTTTCTGTGTTTGTAAATGTTAAAGTTTATGGAAACAAATGCGGATAAATGGCATTAAAAAAAAAAGCCATAGGATAAAATCAAAAGCTCTGTGACCGACAGAGATTTGGAAAAATGCACGAGTGCATTAAATAAATGCAGCAAAGTTTTTTTCTGATTCTGAGTGAGCGTGAACATATTGATTGGCCCTGGTTTAACACTCTGGTTTGAACACAACCAACCAGTAACCTGTATACCGATAAGAAATATGTGCTGAGGTACATTTACATACAGTACTATGCAAAAGTCTTAGGCAGTCACAGAAAATGATGTAAATGATCTTCAGGTTGGTGTAAAGCTATGTTATTTTCTCTGTCTAAGTGAGTCTGACTCTTCTAAAATCACCACGGTATTTACAGCAACCCTCCAATGCATCAACGCACCATGTATTTTTTGACTGGACCACTAGCTCACCTTGTTTGGCTAATCAACACCCAACTGAATAATTAATCAAATTAATTAAGTTAACTGGAGAAATTAAATAAATACCTAGAATGGCTGAAGTGCCCCCGAGGAGCGTTTTGGGAATCGAAGCGGAGTTTATCTAGCTGTCCAACAAGATCACAACTCTTTTTGGAGAACAGAGAAAATTCTTGTTCATTTTTTATTGCGTTACTGTTAGTCTGTATATGTTGCAATGTTGTAATGTTCAATTGTGTTTTTTTCCCTGAATATACACAAATATACAAGTACTACCAAGATAAACAGCCATAAATATTTTCTTTGACTGCCTAAGACTTTTGCACAGTACAGCACATCTGCTGTTTTTACATTGTAGCCATCAATATATTTTACTGATTTTGAAAATCAGTAAAACACATGTGCAGAAAAGAACAACATATATAAGTTATGTCTTATTTATATATAATGCAGATAATGCAAAGAAACCCATTACAGAAAGAGCTTTGGACGCATCATCATGATTTAACTGGTTTGAGCAAACAGTTCAGTGTGAGTGTTTAATTATTTACTATTCATTTCTTTGAGCATTTTAAATGCCTCTTAGTTCGCAGAAGATGAATGGATAGCAGTAATTTTCCTCTGGCTGCCCTGACATTACATTGGGGTTTGTATTACAACCAGAAAATGAGCTGATGTTTAAGGAACATCCTGCCTTAGCCCACAAATGAGATTGACGAGCCTCTTTTTCACACAGACATTCATTAGCTTCAGATGCATTTGGAAGCTCTGTATTGAAGGACATTAATGGCAACCCTAAGTGCAATTCCTGATGTAGTCTTTGTTGTTATTTAAAATAAAACTCGCTTGAATTAGCCATTATCTTATGCACAAGCTATTATCTCCTTCATGACAGTCCAGCAGTTTTTCAAAAGGTCTGGAATTTTGGAGGTGCTGGATATTTTGTTCATTTCAGCCAGATAAGGCCAGACGAGCACATTCTGTTTACTTTGGGTGCTTCACGTTTGGACTGAGAAAGAGACTCCAGATCCAAATATGGGAATTATGTTATGATAAAGAATATTACTGGGGGAGAATTACAAGAAAAGGGTCCAAGTGAGAGGGACTTTGTTCAACAAAATATCTGTTTACTTGACCTAAGTGTTAGTGGGGGGGGGGGTGAATAATATAATGGAGTAAATAAAGCAAACAACAAACAAGAAAAGCTTAGCTTTAATCTGCTATAATTTCAGCCACAACACCAAGTGAAATGTGTTAAATATCTGTTCTTCCATTCATCCATCCATCCATCCATAGTCTATCCCAGAACCTATGGGTGCAGGGCAGGGAAAAATGCTATCATAGACATCTGCTCTTATTAATATTAATGTTACTATGGTGGAGACACTGAAAGGATTTTACGATGGGACACAAATACATTTTCCCTGATTGTGCGGGACCTGATCATAAAATAAACAGTGAGCTCACCTAGACACGACGAGTGGGAGAATGAGCATCTTCAACATCCTCATGAGCAATTCCCCAGGGAACTGGAAATATTTCACCTCCTGCAGAAAAGCAGAAATGACAACCATTAGCCAAAACTTTCAAGTGCTGGGCAAAATTACAATACTTGTGTATTATTGTCATCGATCCACCTTCTATATCCACTTGTCCTATGCAGGATCGCAGGATCGCAGGAGTCCAGAGCCTATCCTGGATGTTAAAAGCACAAGGCAGGGAATAACCCAGGATGGGGTGCCAACCTATCGGAGGGTACACACACACAGACACGGACAATTTGGGAACTCCAATTCACCTAAACATGTTTTTGGACTGTGGGGTAAACTGGAGAATCTGGAGGAAACATCAAGAGAACACAGGGAGAACATGCAAACTCCAAACAATGAGAAACGGGGATGGAGACTCAAACCCTAACCCTCATGTTAGACAGCAGTGTTAACCACTGTGCCACTATGCTGGCCCATCATTACCATCATCATCATCATCATCATCATCATCATCATCATCATCATCACCATCATCACCATCATCATCATCATCATCATTATCATCATCATCATTATCATCATCATCACCACCACCACCACCACAGACTTACCCATTAGTATGGAATTTTTAGGCTTAAAAGATGACAAAATGAATGATAATGAGGCATATTAGCATGGTTGTCTGAGGCCCCTGGACTTCAGCATCGGTAAACCTGTACATCATAGGTGCCCCATCCAACCAGACTCAGTCAAAATTAAGTATATTTTCCTATATTCTACTTTAATTCTCCTTTGCCTTCATCCTGTTTGAGCAATAACGCAGTACAAAGAATTTCTCTCTGTTTCCATCTCAGCCTGGCTTATCGCAAAAAATAACATTGTGTGGCATTCAATTCCATAAATACTCTCATAATTCTTAAAGAAAATCTTAATTCTTAAAGAAAAAAATGAGCGTATTACACATAGTGAAAGTTAAATATTACTGTAATTAAACATATTATTAATAGAAAGTCCCTCATTACACTGTCTTATCAAAATGGCATATTATTAAAGTAATTACTCTTAGCAGCAGAGATTGAAATAAGCTGCCACGGCACTTGTAATGAGCCAGTGCGTGGTATCCCATCAGAAGCCAGCAGGGGTGTATTCAGGGGCGTGGTCACAGGCTATAGCGCTGGCTACAGCTCAAGCCTGATTGGTCCCCAAAGTGCCCCCTCCCTTTTCACACACTGATTTAAAACATGTCATTGGCTAATAATGGTGCCTCTCTGTATGAATCATCGCCCCTCTCATGCCTCCTTCAAAAAATTACATTCTAGAAGTCAGGATGGAGTGGTTGAGGGTGTCTGTGTTCGTAACAGGATGGGGAAACCTTTAGACCGTGGACGTCCTGCACAAATATCTATGGCGGAGAAAACGTGGCATTCCAGCAAAGTGACATAATTTTGTCTTACACTTTGGCACTTGAAGAATCCATTATTGGTGGCAGTCTAAGCAGACTGCTGAGGCACATTACACATACACAGAACATTCAGTTGTTCACTGTTCAGCACGCTGTGCAATACTATTTATTACTGAGCCATTACTACAGAATTCTGCGGAATACTTTCTCCTACACTCTTTGCATTCTTAATATTTATAGTCATTTATTAATTCAATTAAATTGATCAATCTATTCATCCATCCATCCATCCATTTTCTGTATCTATTTTCAGTTTTGAGTCCACTTTTTTGCAGTCTTGCTCTCCTCTCGGAATTAACGGATAGGAATAACGCATGAACATGAGTCGCATATGGTTGGAATCGAGAGAACTTCCTCGATCCGCTGGTCCAAGTTACAGCATTGTGCGCTAAAATATTCCAGAATAATCCTGCGCGTTATGAGGCCTATATTTTTCAACATTTTCCACAAAAAACGCCCTTAATAATCCATAAAACATCGATTTTATTCACATTAAATGGAAAACAAAGTGCATATTCGCAATAATCCACACACTACCCTTCTGTGAAAAAATATTTAATAATTTATTTATTATAAGCCTATAAATAAAGGGATAGAAAAAGACTCAAACGTGGGCTGGAGTTCTACTAGAAATAACAATAAAACGCAGAATTTGATTTATTAGGTAGACAATAATTTTTGCAGGATTTATTCACAAAGTATGTTTGATGCTGAGCTCCATCAAAACAGTAGAAACAGAACGCGCCCATCATGTAATTGGAACAACTACAACGGTGGTTTGAGGCTAAAATGCCGACTAAGAGTTTCCTTCTCAAATTTCACTTTACCAGTCATAGCGTATATATGAGGAAAAATAATAGCGATAAACATTCAGTATTAGACTCTAAAACCGTCTGTTAAGTCTGTATTCAGTGGATTATAAACTAAACAATGCTTTTCTATTTCAATTTCTTTCAGATGTTATAAAGTAATAAATAAAAAATATATGACTATAGAAAGCGATAAATTGCTGTCTATCAGATAACTTCAACAAGTTCAAAATCAAAGATATTCATTTCCGCCTGGCACTGACTATGTATTCTTTCATAATATTAAGCCACGGAAAGGTCCCCAATGAAATCCTGCATCCTCATATCATAGAGACTCTAATCTCAATAATTATATACTTGCAGCTCCTGCAAATTTTTATATTACAGATCAGACTAAAAATCAAGAAATTTCAATAGGTGCAAGTAGTTTTTCCTCATAAGAAGGATGATATCAAGACTGTGTTAACACTTACACATCAAATTATGGCATATCTGAGGAGTCCAGAAACAAAACCATAAAGTGTATGTGGCAAACTCCTGTACATACAATGTAATAACCCTAAAACCAAAGGGATAGAAAAACACTCAAAAATGGATTAACACAATACTGTGATTGGGTGTAAAATGGTCTGCTTCAAAATTCAAATGCAACCAATAAAGTTCTTTGAACAGAAGCATTTATATAGAAATTTTAAGAAAAAAACATCCATGGTTCAAATTATACCGTGACCAAATTTTAGACCATTAAGAACATAAGAACATAAGAACATAAGAAATTTACAAACGAGAGGAGGCCATTCGGCCCATCAAGCTCGTTTGGGGAGAACTTAGCTAATAGCTCAGAGTT